CCCCAAAACCCCAAAACCCCAAAACCCCTAGATATTTAAATATTTTTGAATCTGCATAAATTAAAAAATGTTACATCCTTGTACCTCATCCAGCTTTCTTGGACCTTTCTTTATAAAAGTAACAGCAATTCTGGTGCTTTCATTATGTTTCATCCAACCTATTGAAGCACAAGTATTGTCAGTGACTCCCTCAGATTCTATGATCAACATAGTCACTTCATATAGCTTCCAAATCACTGGAGTATCGAGGTAATAATTTGTGTAATTTCTAGTTTAAACTCAGGAGATATAATCAAAGCAACTATTCCTACAGGGATAACTGTCAGTGGAGTTAGTTCTGGGGCTACTACCACTTGATCTCTAACCACACTAGGATCAGGAGGTGTTGCAACTTCCCCGGTTACCACATGCACATACAATGCAAATGATGGTGGAGCACGTACCCTGACATTTACTCTTGGACAGAGTTACTCAGGACTCCTGGTGATCAACCTCGCGACTACAAACATTCTTCAAAACCCTAACTCAGTTCGATTTCTGGATCCCTTCATTCTAAACGTTGGGTCCACTACTATTAACACACATAGCACAATTACTTACACAGCTGCATCTTTGGCTTCAGCTTCAGTGACAAATCTTGCTAAAACTGCTGGAAGCCCTACAACGATGACATTCACATTTAGAATTACCAACCAGATTCCAGCAAATGGGTTTATCAGGATCAATTGGCCGTCTGAAGTTCAGTTTAAGCTGAGTTCAGCAGATGGGTTGGTCTCCGTTACTATTTATGGAGAGTCCAAGACTGGATTCACCACATCAGTCTCACAAATCTCAAGGCAATTTACCATTTCAGGGCTCTTTTCATCAGCAGTCTCAGCTGAAGCGAAAGATATAGTTATTGCTATCCAGAGTTTGAATAATCCTGATTCCCAAGTGGAGTCAGGAAGTTTTACCATAACAACTCTTGATTCCTCATCTAATGCAATTGATCAGCAGAGTTCTGGATTAACAGTGACGTCTTCTTCTCCAGGTACGATTTCTTTACAGTCTATTACTCCAAGTACGACTTCTGTAGACCAAGAGTTGACTGTTCAGATTTATGAAAATACAGATATTTCTCCATCAAATTCCTTCCTAAGAGTCACTTGGCCCTCAGAAGTTACCTATGTTGCTAGTGGAACACTGACATGCACTATGGTATTCGGGTTTTCTGCTAACACACCACCTTGTTCAGTAGATACTACAAATAATTATATGACTCTTTCTTACTATCGAAATACTGTTCATCTTTATACAGTTGGGACTTTTAAAAATCCTCTTGGAGCTTTAACTACATCTTCATGGAAACTTGAAGTCTTTGATTCATCTAACAATATAATAATGAGACAAGAGACAGGTATTGCATATACAACTACTGTGCAAGCCATTACAGTAGGATCCGCTTCAAGGCTCTCTGCTTATACAACAGTTGCAATACAAGCAAATTATTCCTTGTCATTTACCATTAAAACAAGACTTTTAAGTGACAGTACAATAACTCTTATCTTCCCTATCGACCAAGTCAAGTATAATTTTGCTACAAAATGTTTTAATGGGGGTACTGACCTTTCATGCACTCTATCTGATACCAACAGCACTCATTTTCAAACTACTATCACTCAATGGTGTGTCTCTGGAGCTGAATGAGCAGCTGATTCAACTCTCAGCTTCACTCTTGTGAATGCTATTAATCCTAGTTGGATTGTAAGCCCACTCACCTCTTCAGTGATAATCAGGACTTCAAACGTTCAGTTGACAGACACTCCCACTATTGATGAAATTACTAGTGGTGTTCAGTTCTCTCCAACACTCACACCTGGAACTTTGACATCTTTCTCTGTTACTAAAGATTCTGCAACAAATAAAGTTGGAGAACAGACTTCTTGGGCTGGAGCTGGTATAACATTCACGACAGCAACTGCAATTCCTGCTAACGGAAAGATTTATTTAACATTCCCAAGTGAAACCGTATATAAGGCTACTTCAACTGAAGTTATTTGAAAAGATGCCAGTTCTGATACTTTGACTTGTTCAAGCACATCTGATTCTGCTAACAATATTCAGACTGTAACAATCACCTCTGCTTGTACTTCTGGATGAACAGCAGGAGGAGCTATATCTATTCAATTGGAGGAGGTATATAACCCAGGATCAACTAAGCCTGTTCAAACAAATATCCAGGCCCAAACACAGACAAGTGAGGGATATGTGATAGATTCAGGGATTGCAAGCTCTGCTACTGGTTTTGGACTAGTAGCTAATTCCTTCACATCAGTAACCACTAATGCTCCAACTACAAGCATTGTTGTAGGAGCCATTCCGCAATATCGCTTTACGATTGCTTTAAAGAACTCTATTCCTTCATCTGGTGGGAAACTTGAGATAGCATTTCCTTCTGAAATTCAAATTCAATCAAGCGGAACCTGCACAGCTGTTATTGTTTCAACTAGTCATATCTGCACTCTTAGCAATAGTGCTAACACAGTTACTGCTACATTCAGCTCAACTGCAGTGGGAGGCTCTAGCTTAGTGATTACAATTACAAATGGAGTCAAAAATCCTACCACCGGGCAGCAAAGTAGTCCTATAACATTTAAATCTACTGTTACTGAGTCATCTACTAAGTATGACATTGACCAAGATTTGACAACAGTCAGAATCCAACCAAATGTGTATGGAACATTGACAAGTACGTCAGTGACCCGGTTAAACAGCTCTCTAATAAACACAGACACAGAACTAGATATCAAGGCTACAAGTGCTAACCCAATCCCTTCATTGTCTACTATAAAGGTAGAATACCCTCTTGATCAAGTACAATTGAGTGTAGCTAGCACAAGTGCTCTAACATTTTTCCAAGTTTCTTCAGCAGGAACGGTCGGAAGCGCCTTAACTCCAATAAGCGTAGCTACAAGCTCCACTCACATCACCGTTACGTTCAGAGAATGGTGTTCTATTGGTGGGAATCCTTGCCCTGCTAGTAGTGAGAACATTCGGTTCAGAACGATTGGGTTTAAGAACCCAACAACTACATTTCCACCTTCTAACAGCTTCAAAATTTATGTTGATACAAGTTCGAGTCTGATAGTGGACAGTATTGAGAGCTCATTATATGCTACTCCTAGTATCCAAGCAGGACCACTTACTTCAGTGAGTATCACTCGTGACTCGAACCTGACAGGAGATGTAATCACCTACACTATAAAGTTCACTACAACAAACAGCATTTCAGAGCCGAATGGAGTATTTCTCTCTTTCAGCCCTCCTTCTGGCCTCCTATACCAAGGCTCTTCTCTTGCTTGTACTTTCAATGGTGCTAATGCTGAGACTCCTGTGGGTACTAGCAACCCTGGTGCAGGTTGTACTGCTACCTACACCACAGTTACATTAGGTCAATCATTGGCAACTCTCAGGATTCCATTTTCCTGAACCAGTTGTCCAGTGGGCAACTACAATGTGACTTTTACAGGCTTCAAAAACCCTTTTAGCACGCAACCACCTACAGGGACTATCACTGTTGCCACACAGGGATTCGATGGAGCTGGTACCTACTCTAACTATGATGTGCTTGATATTGTCATTGAGTCATCAGCAACTGATCTACAAACTTTAGCACCAAATGTCTGTACTGGGACCGCTGAGCGGTCAAAGACAACAGCTGATGCGAATACAGAGATAGTGGCTAATGTCACATTGACTAATCGAATAATTTCAGGATCATATATGTCTAGTAAAATCAGAGTAATGGTACCTTTGGACCAATTTGTAAGGACAACTGATACAATCCAATACAAGCAAACATCGTCAAGTACAGTAAACGCAATGACAGTTGTTTCTACAGATTCAACTCACATTGTTCTTGAATATGAAGCTTTTTGCAGTAGTGGAGGATCTACCTGCTCAGATGGATCTACAATGTCAATCACAATTACTCAAGGCTTTAAAAATCCAAGGACTGTAATTTCTACCTTTACAAACTACTTCATCTTTGAATCAAGGACGCCTGATCAGTTGTATCAAGTAGACAGATCAACTGCGAACATCGTAGCTACACCTGATATTGCTCAGGCAGCAATAGCAAATATCGCTATTAACTTTGAGAGTTCTACTGTAGCCAAGGATGGCTATGCTGATGTTTCAGCAGTTCTAGGCTCTACCATGCTTAGTTCAGACTTCATAGAGCTAATCTTCAGCTCTGAGTTCTTACTTCAGACAACTTCCGCAGTAACCTGTTCAAAGGTAGTGAGTGGGATTGCTTCTACCGTGAGTTGCACATCTACTTTCACATCAGGCTATTTATCAACTTTAAAAGTAGAAGGATTCTGAGAGTGAGACTCAACTTCAACATATACAATCAGAATTCATAATGTTAGGACCTTGCTTGAAGCCAAAGCTTTTACTGGAACTTTAACATATTCTACAAAAGCATCAGATACTGAAAGCATTGGAACAGGAACATTAGATCTTAGCACAGTGACTACTTTGACAGCTGCAACCCTTTCTCCTGCAACAGTTGTTAGATCAGCGACTACTCAAGGTTCGTCATCTTCATTCACTTTGTCATTTACTACACCTGGCATACTTCTGGGTGGGTCAACGATCCAGATAGGGCTCCCATTAAACCAGATTGTACTAGATGGGTCTGCCTTTACATGTGCTGATTCTTCCAATAACGCTGCTTTGACATGAGCAGCAACTCCAACAGCCACTTCAACTTACAACTATATCACTATCAACGAGTGGAAGTGAACATCTGGTAATTGCGCTGCAGGGCAAGAATTCGGAATTACAATCACTTCTGCAAAGAACCCTGCAGTTTCTGCAGTTTCAACAGATCCATTCTTAATAAATTTCATATCGACCTCTTCGAATGCTATATTTCAGGCTCCATCACCACTGAATGCCTCACCTGATCTAGAGGTAGGGTCTCTTAACAATCATGTGATCATTCATCAAAATCAGCAATACACATTAAGCACCACTGAATATATCATTGCATTTGATACTACTTCTGAAGTGCCAGCAGCAGGGAAGATCATATTTACTTTCCCAGACAACAGAATTTTGAAGGACTCTTCGTCAACTCTGACAGTGACTACCGGAACTAGTTATGAGACAACAGTCACAGGTGTGACAGCAACTTATGACCTGACTAATACTTGGTTGAGTAAGCTCGAGCTTACCTCTGTATGTACCACTCCTTGAGCTGTTGGCTCATACCAGTTTAAAATCTCTGGAGGAATCAAGAATCCTAATTATGTACAACCTCTAACAGGCAATTTTGTTTCATACACCACTGATTCCTCTGGAGCGGTGATAAATAGAGATATTAAATCCAATTCTGATGTTTCAGAGATCCTTCCGACCCCTATCGATGCTACTATTACCAGAAATTCTACTGCTCTAGGTGCATCTGTAGGTCTAACAGTATCTTTTAAGACGACAAACCCATTCCCAGATGGAGGAAAGATTCTCCTGAGAATGCCTACAGACCAAATTTCAGGGACTCCTGCAGCTTGTCTTAAGGGAGATCTCTCAACAGCTCTGAGCTGCACGACAACTACAATTGGAGATTTTAGAGTAATCACAATTGACGAATGGTGCACATCTGGAGGAACAGACTGAGCAGGCGGCACTACAATTTCTTTCTATATTCAAGATGCTACTAACCCCTCTTTACTCTCAGCAAATGTAGCAACTACAAGCTGGCAAGCCCTCACAGCTACTGCTGAATCATATCCAATTGATGGTGACTATACAGATTTAAAGCCAACCCCAAATCTTGAAGGAGTTTCTATCACTGTGAATGCACTTGAAGTTGCTTCAGCAGTTGTTTATACAGAGACAACTATTAGCTATGGTTTTCTTCCAGGATCAAATCTACCTTCTGGGGCTATCATTGAGTTTGGCTTCCCTCCTCAATTTGCTTTTCCACCAACTACTAAATCATGCTCTCAAATAACTCCTTCATCAAGTACCTTAACTTGTACTTATGCAGAATCTGGAGGCTATGTTACCTCCATCACGGTGTCAAATCCTTGTGTTGCAAGTAGCTGCCTCTCTACAACTCCAATGGTGTTTCAATTCAGCATTAAAATCAGACAGAATACCCAAAATGTTGGAGGAAGCTTTTATGTGATTACTAAGACCTCAAGCACTGATATTGGATATGGCTCTGTATCAAATAGTATTACTATCTTGCCAAATCCTTTCTCCAGTACTTCTTTTGACAACTCCGGATGTGACTTAATTAAGGCTACATGTAGTTTAGCTATCAAATTCACAACGGTTTACACTTTCCCAAATAAGGCTAGTAATGGGAGGATTTCATTAACTGTTCCCAGTGATCTTACTGTATCATCAACAGGATGTACTGCTACAATTGGTTCAAACACAATGGAGTGCTCAATGACTGGAAAGTCAGTAATAGCGACCCACAGCTTAACTTCATCAGTTGCTGAGCAAGAAATCATAATCAAATTTGCAAGCGTTACGAATCCTTCAAGCACAAAACCTACAAATTCTTTTGTGATCTTATCCCAAGAACAAGTATCTGGGTCTTACTACAGTATTGATGGAATTACTTCAGGTTTTTCTTACTCAGTGGGAGGTATTGGCACAATCACAGAAGCCGCAGTTACTCGATCTGCCCTAAACTCAGACAATGATGGCCTTAAAGTTGGTAGAAATACAAACTTCTTGTTCTCATTCAAGATAGAGAATGAAGTTGCTAGCGATGGAGTGTTTACATTCATAATGCCCTCTGATAGCGATGCCCAGATAGACACCACAGCTACAGTCTTTGCTTGCAGTGCTGCCAATTGTGACACTGGAACAACCCTTTTCTGAGATGTTACTGCTGCTTCAAGAACTGTTCAGATACTAGACTACTGCACTAGTTCTTCAGGTAGGTCTTGTGCTGCTGGGTCCACTATTACAATCTGACTAAAGAGCACATTTATGAGGAATATGTACTGGATTAAGGATCCTCTTACTGCTTCTGATTCATTCACTATTAAAAGTGGTATTTCTGGAGGAGTGTACTTTATTGATGGAATAAGTACTTCAATAACCGCCACACCTACGCTCTTACCTGATGCTTTAAGCTTTATTTCTCCACAAATCGCTAGGACTGGTGACACAGTTGATGCTAAGGTAGACTGGACAGTTTATCTAAAGTTCTCATCAAATATGCTTAATACTGCGGGATACCTTTTAATGACAATCCCCGATGATGTAATTTATGATATGGGAGAAGACTTGACAGTCACTTTGCTTACAAATAGCTCTTCAGTTATATCTACAGTTAAGACTTTATATTCAAGTGGAGCTATAAATACTATCAGATTTAATTCTGTATGCTCTAGTTCTGGCTGAGCAACGGGATCGTTTCTTAATATAAAAATTGAGTGGGTTAAGAATCCTCCGGCACAGACTACAATCAGTACTGCAATCACAATGTCATCTCGAACATCTGAAGGATATTTGATCGATCAAGGATCGACTCCAACAATAGATAAGCTCTTCTCCTCATTAGAACTAGCTCCGGTGACGAACATCAAAATTGATCCAGAAAATCCTTCTGCGGGGGCTGATACAAACTATGATATTATTTTCACAGCTGACACAAGCATTCCGCTCAACTCCTATGTGCTAATTACTGCTCCGACGGAGATAACCGTGTCCACTTCAAACGCAGGTGGAACAGCAGCTTTAGATACTTGCTCAAATATTTTTGCGACTTCAGTGACAATAGCTTGTGGTTTGGGCACAAGTGGAGGATCTGTTACCATCAAAGTTACAGGAATATTCCCTTTGGCTACAAACACAGGGCAGTTTGGTGTAAAAATGGGGCTGTTTAAAAACCCATCAACGGCAGGCACTACAGGATCATTTATTATCCAGATCTTTTCGCCTGATGATAACCCTATAGCCTCAAAGGATGTAGACACTCCAGTTATGATTGAGGAGCCTGTGTCAACTTGTGATTCAAATTGCCTGACTTGTTCAGGGACAGCTACTTCTTGTGATTCATGTAAGAACCCATCAGATCTTCCTTTCCTTCAAAATGATAAGTGTGTATCAGCATGTAGCAATGGGTATTACCTACAAGGGACAATTTGTTACAGCTGACACCATAGCTGAGCTACTTGTGATGGGCCAAATAGCAATGACTGTATCTCATGCAAAAGTGACTTCTTATTTGAAGATGGCTCCTGATTAACTTCTTGTAGTAAAAATACTCAAGCAAACTCTGCAAATCAATGAGAAAGTACTTCTGAGAATGGAAGTTGTAACTCAAACTGAGCTACCTGCTCGAAGAATCTTGATTGGTGTCTCACTTGAAACTCAGGAAGTACCCCTATTGTCAATCCCACTAATGGTCAATGTGTCTGTACTGATAATGGATGATGTGGGGGTACTTTATATGTCGATACAGAATCTCAATCTTGTCAACCATGCTCCACTCGCTGAAAAACTTGTGAAATCTCTGCAGATAAATGATTCTCATGCTGGAATTTCTTTGATTCTAAGTTGCTTGATTGGGCTTCTTATAAATGTCTGAGTGAATGCTCTTCAAGTGGATATTATGACTCAGCAACAGATACTTGCCCGGCTTGAAATAGAGTTTGCAAAACATGCACTTCAAGTCTACCTACAGGATGACTTACTTGTAATAAAACTGAGGGTGGAAGACAGTTATATCTAGCATCTGGAGAATGTGTGTTAAATTGTAGAAGACCATATACAGAAAATACCAATAACAACACATGCACCAGAAGTGCTTTTGATATTCTCTCTCCTGTTGTAATAATCCTCCTTCTTCTTTTCATTGGTGCCATTATCACCCTGCTACTTTCCTACATTATCAGCTTAATCCGTGGTCGAAAATCAAAACCTCTCGAAGAGGCCTATGCTTACCTCACCTTGATCGAATTCATGAATCGTTGCTTCCTCCTTGCCAATTTATGGGTCTCTACGAAGGTCTTCTCCTTTGCTATCTGTTTTATGGACATTACTGGTACTGCAATTCTCGGTTTGTTCTTCTACAATCTCTATCTTGAGCCAATCTTCCTTCACTCACCTCACTTCAGGTCCCTATTCAAGCAATACAAAGTCACCTACCTTTTCGTGCTCTCAGTCAGCTTCCTGACTGGAGTCAACTTCAGCAGGCTACTTTATGCAAGATCTTTTGGGTGACTGGCTACTGGAGGTAGTTATACAGAGCACTATTTCTTTGTGAAGCCATTGAACACAATGGCTAATTTCACACTGGCGCTGACTGGAGTCCAGATTGTGCTATGTGTAGTGAGCATTTTTGAGTTTGGAGTAGGCCAAGATGTCTGGATGTTGGCTGTCATTGGTCTAGGGGTTAATTTGGCATTGGTGGTCATGCAGCTGGTGAAGGTGTTGCAGACTGAGAGATTTGTGAGAAAATATATGGTGTTGGAGGACTAGAGAGGTCAGATTTGGAGGTATTTTTAAATAGTTGATTTTAGATGAAACTTGTTTTTAAGAGAATCAATAAACTTATAAGTAATTCACCAATAATACCATAACAGGTTAGAATAAAACTCAATCATTACTAAATCTCAGGCTAAACAGCTCCTTCAACCACTCTTCACTTTTCTTTTCTATTTCCTTTCCAGCCTATCTAGCCCAACATCAGAACTAAATATCACACTAAGCCTATCAAAAATCGGGGTTTTGGGGTTTTGGGGTTTTGGGG